TTTATTTATTTATTTATTTATTTATTTATTTATTTATTTATTTATTTATTTATTTATTTATTTATTTATTTATTCACACTTCTTTAACAAGCTCAAAAATATTGTCACCATAATACAATCTTGAACTCAGACACAACCAGGCTAAAGTGGCCCGATCGTGTCTGGACCAGGCATTTATTAAACAAAACAGATCATGGAGAAGTGAAATTGTGCATTCCTAATACAGTTAAGGGACAAATATYATCAGAATTATAGTTTGATTTTCTGTATCTGCATTTATATCTATTTCAATTTCCATCATGTCATAATTCATTACCAAATACAAAGAGGCACAAAACAGAGCCTCTCCATTTGTTGTGATGAATGTTTACATCCCAAGTCGAGCAGAAAGAGCTGTGCTAAATTACTTAGCTGACCATGAAAGTACCTTACCTGAGACTTGCAATCACCAGAATCTACCGCTCAACTCAAAGAGCCAGGTTTTAAAGATATCCATGAAGCGGTGTTTCTTTAGATCTCCTCAAATCTRCATGAAAACAAAAACCCACTGGGGTCCAGAGGGTCCCCCAGCCWCTCCGTCTTTCCAAAAGCCCTTTGTCTTTGTGTGCCATGCACAGTAATGTGGTGCATTCAACCAGCGCAGAGAGCGTATGCGAGTTTTGTTTGTCTACATGACCACTAGACTTCCTTCAATTCTTTTCTCAAACTTAGTTTTCCTGCCTGGATTAGTTGAACTGGGCTAAATATAGAGCCCACACAAGGTAAAGAGGAAATAAAAAAAAAGCAAAGCAGGAAATGGATCACAATATGCCTGTGTGCATGTTTGTTTCTGCATGTCTTCCTGCAGCAGGTCTCAGAAACATTCATAGAAACTTGGGTCAGTGAGTGGGGACACTGTGAAACTGGACCTGGTTTATACAGTTTTGGTTTGTTTTGAGAATTTTATTTTTTTTCTGACTCTGATAACGGTCAGGCAGAGTGGCTGAAGTGCCCGTGTGCWCGCTGCTGTGCTGTTGCTGAGGGTCAACCCATCCCATATTCCACTCTAATGACGTTGTACGCATTGTTTTGTCTCTGCTGCTTCTAAAAATGTCTGCCTAAACAAAAGCACTGACAACACATCCTGCCTCTCGGCTGGACAAAAAGAATTCAACTCAAACTTTGTTTCTCTCACACAATTTCAGCGAGCAGCTGTGGAGGGATGCGGGAATTCGCTGTCCTGTTTACAGCAGGGTCCCGGTGGTCCTGACAAGTCGTTAAATTGTCGTCRCACAACTAGGAGAAGCGTGCCAACCCAGCTGAAGTCTCAACATCCAGCAACATTTTTCTATAAAGCTCACAAGTCAATAGGGTCTCACCTGTACTTTTCTAATAATCTAAACCAGGGGTCTTCAACCAGTGGCTCGTGAGCTCATTTAAAGTAGCTCTTCAGTGCTTATGAAAAGTTAGGAGAAGCAAATTTAATTTGTCACTGGGCAAACAAACTTTCATTTAATTCCAATCAATATATAAATGTCCCTTCCCCTTGGTTGTCAAACAGTTTAGGGCTCAGTGTGGTCGATCAGACGAGGCGCGGTCACATGGTTGTTCTGCATCGTTTTCGCACACACCTTTCATAGCCCGTTGAGACACACGGTGCTGAGCTCCTGGGAAACCCCTCCTGCTGTGGTATATGTCACTGCATTAGGTTTCTTCCTGCTGGAGTCTACAATG